TAGTCATAAAAATGGGGTTTCCTGGTAATGTTTGCACTTTATTTGAGAGGAGGAGAAGAAAACTTCTGCATTTGTAACTCTATTATTTGGGATACAGTTTTTGTAGTCATAAAAATGAGGCTTCTTGGTAACGTTTGTGCTTTGTTTGAGAAGGAAACCTGTGCCTTTGTAAGTATTTTGTTTTAGAAGCAGTTTTTTTTTAGAGTGGGGGAAAAAAGTGGAGCTCCCTGGTAATGCCATAAATTCCGAGCTGTCCTCCAGCGAGGCAGCACGATGCAGATACGACTTAATAAGATCACAAACTGAATTTGGGCGAAACAAGCGAGATTTACATTAAATTAGGAATTTTTAAAACCGATTTAGTTTGTTTTACTGAGCATTTGCTTAATAACATTTCGCCTCCTCGCAATCTTTTTTTTTTTAAAGCCAATAATTCGCCCGCGAAAGCGCCGGCACAGCCCGGGCGGGGAAATTGGAAGCAACAGCTCCCTCTCTGCATCCACCCGGCGAGGGGAAGGAATATTTGAGCTCCACGGGAATTTAATAAATCATCCCATTTCCTAATTTGATCATATTAGATGCTGATGTGGAAGGAGCATTGCGAATAGCAGCTCCTCATTAATATACATCAGGCCGGGGAGGGGGGGAGCGGGGGGTGCCGGTGGAGGAGGGATGTCACAGCTCCCCTTCCCGACTTTCCTAAGTGGAACAGGTTGATGTGATCCCGGGTGTGATTTGTCACTGTCTTGCTAAAATGGTTTGGGTCGAGTTATGGAGTCCAGAGAGCTGGTGGCTGATAAATCAAACGGGGATTGAGTGGACAGGAGGCAGTGATTGATACTGTGACAGGATATGAGGACAGGAATCTCCATCCGAGCACGCACGATATTGAATATGAGGAGGAAAATGGCCCTGGAGTATGGATATTATTCAAGGAAATGAGAATAATAATATCAGCTGGAAATTATTGCTGGCTGAAGATTAGGAGAGTTCTTATTAGAATATTGTGCTTCTGTGGGATGGGGAAGCTCAGCCCTCGTGTAATTCCCGGGTGGATGGAGCCGGGTTAATATTTTTGGAGTTTTCACTGTGATTGTTCTTGCAAGTTAATCATATATATATATGTAATCACATAGAAAATACTCTGCATCAGAACTCATAGCACAAATCTTCTAATTCACCGAGCTTTGAATAGAATTAACCCCCAAATGTTACCCTGTATTCCTTGATTTCCTGCAATCCTGTGATTACAGAGTATCCCACTATAATTGCCTTTAAATATGCAAGTTTGCTTTATTGTCTGCCAAGTGTTTTTGGCTTTTTGCTCTATGTTAAACTCCAGACTGCTGCTTTGTAATACCTTTAATGCAGTTCAGCTTAAAAACTGACACAAACTCCCCGAGTACATCTATAGATAGTGAAGGAGAGGAAATTTTAGCTGTAAAATAACGTGCCTGTGGCCCTGCTGCCTTTGGAGTGTCGCTGAAGGAGCTGTTTGATCAGTGTACAGGTTTTTTTCCCCAGTGTGTGTGTGTGGATACACATTTGCATCTTATTTCTTTACCGTCCTTCCAGCCTAATTAATTTAATATTGAAATGTGTGCAGTTG